CAAAGCAGCTTAATTTCTTAAAATGTACTTTTTCTGGCACTGTCGATCAGGAAGGCCACGCAAAAGGTGATCACCCCGGCGTTCGGAGAAATTGAATTTTATTTTCATATAAAGGGAAACATCCAAATAAGGATGTAAGAGAAATCAAGATCAATTTACGACGGACAAGCTAGAGAAATTATCTAATGAAAAAGTCCAATTTAAATATGATCTCCAACGGCCACATGAGCGATGACAATGACTTTAAATTAACGTAATTTGACTTCGTTCTAAAACTCGTAAATAATTTGGAAGTGTCAAGACTACGTTCCTTTTAAATTGATGCTTCAATAAGAACTTTAAATATCTTAACAATATTATTATGTTTTTGAATAGTAGGGTTCTAGGTGGTAACCATTTTTTTTACTCACTTCTACAGTTGAGTAGGAGGTTCAACCTCCTATCTATACTAATATATAAAGCTGAAGAGTTTGTTTGTGTGGACGCACTAATCTCAGGAACTACTGCTTCGATTTAACCTTTTTGTGTTAGGTGAAGCGTTTATCTATGAAAGCTATAGGTTATAAACATCGCGCTGTGACTAATAGGAGCGAAGAAACAGCGGGAAATGTAGATTAAACGAGGGAAAGTATTCATATCTGTGGGTTTCCGATGCGTACGCTGCGAAAACGGTTCAAGACACCCAAAAAATATGTATGAAAGAATTATTTATCTTTAAAAGGTCTTAACCAATGTGTGCGTCAATGTATGTCTATCTTTTAAGTTTAACTCGATCGATGTCGTGGCTTTAATATATAAAAATGGAGAACCGGTTTGCAAAACAAATTTCGATGCCCAAAATAACTATTCTACGCGGATGAAGTAACTGACACAGCTAGTTACAATATATCTGCTGCATGAAAATGAGATTCAAAATGTGTCTCTTGATTGGAAAATCAATTTACATTACAAAAACGTATTTAACGTCTATATATCTACTACTACCTTTGTAGTAAAGTCAGTTGTGTCCTAATAAATATGATAAGATTTTCTCTCCACATATTAACACGTGTAAAATTTCATAGAAATTGCTTCAGCGAAGCGTGAAGCTCTAAATAATTTCACTTTCGCATTTAATATACATTTTTATTAGAAGACGATATAAAAAATACGATTCTGTATTTTTTCTTATGATTATTAAATAAACTAAATTCTGCATAGGATTGGCTTTGAATGCCAAAACGTATCTCCGATAGATTAGTTAGAGATTTGACAGTTTTTCGAAATTCAAACGAAATCTTAAAAAAAAAATTAAATTAAGAATTCAAATATAACCCACTTATTACCACTTGCTTTATCAGAACAAAGTACGGAGTTTTCGAAACATCTTACGTTTAATTATACACGTTAAAATATCGTCGTTTTTTTCATTAATTTAATTTATGACGTCGGCTAATCATATTACTTTTGATTAGTAAAACTAAAACACTTATTTAAAATTTTGTGTTTCCCTAATTGCCTACATAAAACGTTATACTGTTTATAATTAAATCACTAAATAAATATTACGTTCATGTCTATGCCTATGTCAAAATAAAAAAGATTACCACCAAGATTAAGTACTATATTACCACTCTCGTGCTTCAATTGAGTATTGCCCGACCGGTCCAAAGGTCGAATCCGGGGAAAAATAGTTTTAATAATTGCATAGAAGACTAATCAACTACTCGAGGGCTCCCGTTGCATGAAATAATTATTCTAAGATTAACTCGCGAGAATGACTGGACGCGGTAACGTTGTGGGTAACAGTGGTTTAGACAATTATACCTGTTAGTCTATAGACAAAGCGGTATTAATCACTACACTAAGCCTCATAATAAATTAAGCGGTACACTACGGACACGTAACTAGGAAATGTCCAATGGGTTGCTAATCTCGTCCTGCTATTGTACTGCTTTTATTGCCCGGAGTTCATTAGACGAGGCGACGAAGGAAGCTTTTAAGGCGTCTACATACAGACTGCGTAGCCAAACATTAATTTTAAATACCGTGTAAATTGCGTTATGAGACGAGTGTTTTTTAGGTGATGGAGGATGACAGCAGGGGTACTCGATGGTAGGTGTCGATGCGTTGTCGACCTTTTTTTTTATTTGATAATTCGAAAATCTAGTCAAACCGAAACACGATTAAGATTCACAGCTTTTTCATCTGTGGACAATGGTTCGTGATGGGAGGGAGTTTCTATATTCCTACCACCCATTTAGTATCCAGATTCCAAGATGAAGTCCAACTAAAAACTATAAATTGAAAATTTGGAACATGTCTGGAGGTGGGGTTGAACCCACGCCCCGTTGACCATTAGCCATAAATTGCTAATATTAGACCAACGAGTTCGTCAACGAACTCTGGTCTAATATTATCATTATGTGAGTATATATTGATATATACTTAAACTTTTCACAATTTCATCTTCAATGATTTCTTAAGCTAAAGCATAAGACATTGAACCTTAATACGTAAGTGTTAAGGTTGAAATTACATTGCGGAGAGTCATGTATCAATAAGTTGAAAAAATTCGACGATGAGGTGTAGGACTCGGTAGCAATTGGTAGAGACAGCACGGAAAGCTGGATGCCGGTCAAGTCCTGCCCGAGTCGAAAATTTTTTCAATTTATTTTCGATTTTTAAATTATATATTTTGTTTGCTTAAAGTGTTACGGACATTGCCTCAGGTCAACAAATACTGTCATTGTTAGTTTTGAGTTTGTTTTATTCAGATCATTTTTTTTGTACTTATCATCATGGCCTTTATTTTCAGCAACACCCAACACTAAACTACTTACTTTGAATACTGATTTTAATAAATCTGTTGGTATGAACCTTAAGTGTGAAGTGACTCACAAAGTCACAACTTCCGTAAATATTCTACCACGTTATTAAAACTATATGCCTGTAGCATATTTAACTATTTTTGGTACGTTAAAAATAAATGTTGTATGTCTTCGGTTTTCTCTGTTTGTTTAAGCGAGTATACTTTTAAATAAAACTTTTACGATTTAAAACATGGAATAAATTCCCCCCGTGACCACGGCTGCTGAAAGCGTAAGGATGCTTATTTATATTAACTAATATATTCGGTTTTAAACCTTAAAAGTATTTTTTTCTTAATTGTAGCAGTCTTGCTACATACAGTAGTTATTTATTATTGTGTTTTTAAAATTGGTCAACTCAAATATATTTTATAAAAAAGTTTTACAAATTTTACCATCCATAAATTTTAATTAGTCGTTTTTTTTTGTTTAATCTCTAATCTACATTAATCTGTAGCTATCATTTTGACTCAATTTTTAAATCTTTATTTAAAGTTGTGCATTTCTTTGAGTTAGATACATAAGTAGTAATAATAATAGCGAGAAATAGATCTTTAAGTTTAATTGTGTATGTAGTTGGGAAGCCCTGTACAAATAAATAAATAAAATAAACTAGCGGAGCCCTCTTCAAATTATTTCATTAAACGTCGTATTTGTATAGCTTTTCTCATGTTAAGTTAATTACATACATCGCCACATAACCCGACAGCTAAACACGCTACAATTGGACCCAAATTAAGACATCTGTAGAAATTACAGATAACCACTTGAACAAGATATTCAATGCAATCGATCATTTGACGAGAAGTTAATACGTGTAATCACTCAAGTCGAGATTACCTGCTACTTGCAATTAGTTTTAATGACTAGCTTTCAATTACACTAATAATACATCTTGAGTCTTTTACATTTATTGTTGAGTGGTGAATTCGTATATTACAAGTATTTACTTATATAAGTAATTTATAGTCTGTATGATGTTTCTATACTAGCTGTGGTTTGTACGCGCGGAATAGTTATTTCGGACATTTTTTTTATTTATATCATCTGTTCTTGCAAACTATGTTTTTGCCATCGTTTTTTCATTTAAAGAAGTATTATTATTTAATAATATATTTTGGTTTCTTGAACCGTTACCGCAGCATACGCAACGGAAGCCATCAAAGATGAATAAATTTACCTTTATCTCATTGACCGCGTGATTTTATATAGTGTGCAACCTTCCTCCATAAATGCTCTAACCAACACAAAAGTAATTTTTCAATTTGCACGAGTAGTTCCTGAACTTAGCGTGCTCTAACAAACAAACTCTTCAGCTTTATTATATTAGTATATATAGTCTGTAGTGTGTCTATACATACGTATCGCACATAGTTTTCATATTTTAAATTATGGTTTTCTTTGTTACAGGTAAAAAATGGCGGATTACCTAAAATCGAAATACTGATAATGATTTGAAATGAAAAAAGTTTGCTTTGTAAAAGGAAATATTTAAATAAAACACTTTAACGGTTTAAAACGCGAAGTTAATTAATTTAAACCGTTACAGTGTTTTATTTAAATGTGTACTACTCGCATAAACTATAGACAGTATTTAAAAGGAAATATTTCAGAGAAAACATTTTCCACTTTGTAATATCCAGGACAAGTCGTTACCATTTTAGGTCAAACTTTTTGGCTGAAAACCAAATTGCGTTTTGCGGAATGTATTTATTACGAAGTTATACAAAACCGTCATTTATCAAATACAGTTTGAGGCTTGGCGAAGGTGATTTAAAATTTATTATGTCAACTTGTATACCACTTTTTTGTATGAAACTACTTTACTGAAAAAAAACTGTGTTCTTTGTTATTTAATTTAAAAAAAAAATCGTATAATAAAAAAAATTTTAAAAAATTAATTAAAAATTTAAATTTAAGAAAAAATTAATTAAGACATTTAAGACACCTACTGCCATCTGCTATCCAGACGTAGTACGATCCATGCTTCACTAATAATAACGTCCATTATTCATTATCGGACACAACACGTCTTAGTTTCATAGTCCTCCACGAGATGGCGCGCAAGTAAAACCGTTATCATAATTTATAATATACGTATACAATATAATTACTGCATAGAAAATAAAACTAATAAAGGTATTAAAAATATTATTTTTGTGCTTCTTCCTTTTCTTTTTGTGAGTCAGCCATATAAGAATTAACAGCTTCTTTTGTTAGTATCGACAACGGTGCGGATTTTCTTAAAACTGCCACCTATAAAGAAAATTTAAAATATTTATAGCATCGATTAATGAAAGGTATACATTAATTATATAATTATAATACATATTTGATTTAATATTGCGCAAGTATTATCGTAATTTTAGACCTCCAACTCTTTTTCTCCATATTGGACTTCCATCAAAGATCTGACCGCCAACTTTATCGTGTCATGTTCGGATGATACTTTATCTGCGCTATAATTTTTCTCCAGATATTCCCGGACAGTCTTTTCACCACGACCCGTACAACAAGCCTGTAAATATTAAACTCTCATTACTTGATAACTTTAACTAGTCAGTTATAACTAACGGAATACAAATAATCATTAATTATATACCTATATATATGTCATACACCACAGCATATCTATATGTAGTATACGTGAATAACATATAGTTACAATTTAATAAAGGTAAAAAACGCGAAGTATAATAACAAGTTTCATTTAAATATTTCGCGTTTTAAACCGTTAAATTGTAAACTGCTGAATCGCTGCGTATTTTCTTCTTCTATAGTGCCAATTCTTGATAATGATTAATTAAATGATGCATTAAATCTTAATGTTTGAGAATTGAGCTGCGCATGCTGTTCACTGTGATGTTTACAATCTAACGACATGAAAACAAATCCCGAATCAAAAGCAACGCAGTTATTAAAACGCAACCTTCCATTCGTAGTATGTGCCAGAAGGTTCCGTTTGAAAGATATGGGGACCGTCTGAGTCGAATCCGCCGATAATGTAAGAGACGCCGAACGGTCGCCGGCCGTTGTTCTGCGTGTGCTGTTGCATAATGCCAGCGATGTAACGCGAAATATAGTCTATTGTTACCGCGTCATCCACCGTTAGGCGATAGGATTGGCATTCTATTTGTGCTCTGGAAAAAAAAATTACATAATCGATACTAATATTATAAAGCTGAAGAGTTTGTTCGTCTTAACGCTCTAATCTCAGGAACTGCTGGTTCTAATTGAAAAATTATTTTCGTGTAGGTTTACCATTTGTCGAGAAAGTTCTCATTTATCTATTCATAATAAATCTTGTTTCTTGTTTCTTCTCATTCATCAAGGAGACCTAAATTTTTTCATAAGGTTTTTTACTATCCTTTTTCCTTTTTTTCTTGTGTTATCTATACTACTCTAAAGCTAGCGAGTATGTATGTTGTAGCTATAATTTATAAAGCTGAGGACATTGTTTGTTAACTGTTTCACGCGAATGAAGTCGGGGGTTCAGCTAGTTATTGAATACTTAATGTTATTAATTCAGGCTATCAACAATTATGTAATAAATATTAATCATCAACAACCGACTTGTGACCGAAAATTTAGGTCAGAATTTTTTTGTGCTAAGAGTTTAATCACCTAGACACCAGCACTCTTGCGTCAGCCCGTACCCCCGCGAACCCCATCGCAATATGGTCATCCAAAATCACTATCTTCTTCTCCGTTCTATCCACCTGTAGCTGCGGCACCATTTTTTTCTCAACCGCAAGAACAACACAGTTCGCGCCCCTTACACCGACCACAGCTGAGCCGCGCCTTACTGCTTCTTGAGCGTATTGTACTTGTAACAATTGGCCATCTGGAGAGAACACGGTGATAGCTCGGTCGTAACTTGCCATTAATTGTAAATATTTAAAAATAATAGTTTTGTAAAGAGAGAAAACAGAAAACAAAAAATAACATAGCATAAATGACATTTCGTAAATAGACACTTTAATTTTTCACGACTTTCTTTAGTGACGTTTTATAAGATAGAGTATAGGATGATGATTAAAGAATTGTCTTTGGCCATTCTTTAAGCTATGATGCTAAACTGTGTACAGAATTATTCTTACAATAATTTTGCCCGCGACTTCATCCGAGTTGAATAGTCACTTTTGCAAACAATTTCCTAAGTTTTATAAATTACAGCTGTTACGCTAGATGTTTGTTTAGCTCCCCACCTGGCTGGTTAATTTTAATAGATAGACATATACTGCCTCGGACTTTTTTTTAGATAATTTAAAGAGGATTATTGTTTTCCATATATTATATTGTTTTAGTTGTTTAACCCGTTTTAGCAGCGCACACAACGGAAGCCTTCAAAGATTGAATTTTTGCCTATTTTTGCCTTATTTGCCTCTGCTTCTTCCCTCATATCCGTTGCAGTCTATAATTCGATAACCGGTATAACCAACACAAAAATGATTGTCCAATTTGAACCAGTAGTTCCTGAGATAGGCGCGTTCAAACATACAAACTCTTCAGCTTTAAAATATAAGTGTAGATTGATAGTGCTTCAGTTAGGTAGTCGAGTCCTTAAGTTATATATTTATTACTGTTCTAGAGAATAACAAACATGCAAACTTTTTACCATAAGCGAGAATGATATACATAAAATAACTTGGCTTTTAATGCTTTAAAATTAAAAAGATTTCTACAATGAAAAAATAGTCTTTACTTCTCTTATCCACATGGATACACTAGGTTTTTAAAATTAATATTTAAAAATTATTTATGTAAAGTGTATCAGTGTCATTGCAATATATGTATTTATAAACATAAATTTAGTGGTTTTTATAAATCTTCTGTCTCCAGAGCCCAGTCTCCTCAAAGTGGAACCTTTCAATGTAGAATAATCAGTAATCATTTTTAACTATATGTCAGTTAAGTATTACGATATTATTTATTCGGTATTCGGTTGCGGCGTGTCATAGCAAATATTACATAATTGTTTACTTCTAAAGCCTACGTTCGTAACTGTAAGCCTTGACTTCTTCAAGCTTGTCTTAATTTGGCCTTATTTTAAATAAGATCAATCTTAAATCTAATTAATATTATTTATAGTCTACTCCAACGATTCTGGTTTTGAATCCAAGGGATTATTTACTTATGTTTGTTCCATAAAGTTAAGTACTAGGGTTACAAATCTAAGAAAATTCTTTGTTAAGAAAATAAATATGTGCTTATTTATATTAAAGACTATTAACGGTTTAAAACGCGAAAGATATTGTTTAACTTTTTTTTAAATTTTAAATATATTCTAACGTTTCGAATTGTTTGCACCAGCAGTGGTCACGGGGGACAGCTGCTGCCGTATTCAGTTAACTAATATATTTCGAGTCTAAAACTAAATATTGTCTGTAGTGTACGCGAGTAGTACATAACTTCGGCCCAATTTAAAAATCAATTATTTTCAAATAAGTTTAACTAATATATCGCGTTTTAAACCTTTAAAGTGTTTTATTTAAATGTGTATAAAACTGTTAAATGAGTACTACACGCGTAAATTAGACACTTAGATAGAGGATATATTATGTATGGTCTCTAATTTACGCGAGAGAATAAACGCTTAGTATCTCCAACGCCCTTAAATTGTTTTCCAGTCTAAAGATACCCTCGCTATATTAATGGATCTCAGTAAGTTAACGGACAAACATAAGACGGTAAATATATATTTTTACACCCAATACATCAGGTTTAGCGTATTATTATATCAAATGTTTGCGCTTTGTCCAGTTACTATGCGGCTACCAAACGGGCGTATAAATTTATAAAAGTATATACATATTTTAATATAAGATGTCCCATGTAGGGTTTTTTTTATTATAGAGGCAAACAGGCATGGGGTCTACTTGAGGGTAGGTAAAATATCAGCCATATAATCATACATCTGTCTAATTGCTCACGATAGTATTATATTTAGATAGTTTTTTGTTCAATCTAAATAGATTCTTAATTTAATTCATCGATTTATGACTTAATTTAGACTATTAACATTTAGAAACAAGATCGTTAGTGCTGAAATTATAACACAACAATAAAAGTACTACTAAATGAATATTCCAATATGTGAAACAAAAGACGATAGACAATATATATAAATATATTTATAAAAGTTATCCGCTTATTTCAAAGCCACACTTATAAATCTGTCTACTCGTGCGCCGTGTAAAACATATGAGTTAGCGCAATGGTTTATGAGCACATTATCGAGATATAAGCTTATTCAGCTTGCCAGCTGCAAAAATATTGCCCACTTGTATGGAAGGTGATAAGTAGTGGAGTCATTACAATTTAAGACATCCTATTCTAAGAATACAATACGCATTTAAATAAAACATTCTAACGGTTTAAAACGCAATATTAATTAAAATTGTTTGGAGATTATTTTGACTACGTCTCCACGTGTCCACGGCTGCAGCAAAGCATCCGAAACCCTTAAAGTAATTCGTTTAAATGTTATCATTTTTAATATTTGCATTTAAAGTTATTTAACAAGATTTATCCACATTATATAGACATTGCCTTTATTTAAAATCAATAAGCAGAGTATTATTGTATGTAAAAATGTATAAATAGTAAATACATTGCGTAGCTAAATACCATTTGGCAGCTCGTATTTTCAAAGTGTGGTTTAAGAAAATGTATTTGTAATGCAAGCATTAGTATGCGGGTGCAATCTTCAAAGTCCTTGACCGGACATGAACTTGCTACACTCTATAAGTGCCAACGTTAGTTTTGAACTCTACAATTTTGTAAGGTATGTGGCATCTGCGAATAGGGGAAGTTAACAGATAATCTTGAAGTTAAAAGTCTCTGCTTTGAAAGGTATTATACGTAAAGTAAAAAAATAATGTTACTATATATCATAATTCAAGTTTTAACGCGTAATTTTGAAAAATTAAACACGAATAAAACGACACGTCTATCGTAAGGCAATTTAGCATAACAGAAGATAACAAAGCAAGTAATACGCATTTAAAGAAAGCACTTCTAACTGTTTAAAGCGCGACATATACATAGTTAATAATTTATTTTAACTGCGGCACAATGCTTGGGATGCTTTGGACCAGCTACGGTCTTGGGGGGACTGTTGATGGTGTCCTTAATGCCAATGTTGAACCTGCTACCTATTTGTATTTGGTTAGATTTTTCACGTGAAACCGTTAACAGTGTTATTTGTTAAATATTTTATTTGTTATATTGTTTTTTCTTTTTTGGTAGTAGGCAATCAAGTATACTAAAAAATATTTAATTGCTTTTGGTGTTATAATTTTTATTGTTGATAGACGATGTGGGTGGTAGACGTACCCATATGTTTGTTAAAGCAAAACTATGCCTATCTATCAGTTTAGGTGTGTTTTACGCCCTTAATTATTTCATATTTGCATAGTGCGTAGGCAAAGCGTCGGCGGAGGGCCATTTCCAAATACGTAGGTTTGGTTCCCGGCTGATGTCATTCGGTACGTCATCGTATACGAAATTATTATTGGTTATCTTGCATAGCTAATCTGCCTCCAAATATTTTATTACAGAAAGACAAGCTTCACTTGTAAATAAAACACTCTTAACGGTTTAAAACTCGACATTTTTAGTTAAAGTTTATAAATTATTTTAGATTCCACCCGACGTTTCGGATGACTTGCTCAGACTAAAGACTGTTTACTTTGACATAAGATAACCCTCCATCCTTAGTCTCCCTGTGACCACGGGTTCTACAGGGCCCCCGGATAGTCGGATAAAGAGTTAAAATGAGTTGTAAAGTTTAAATACTACATTTCGCGTTTTAAACCGTTAAAAGTGCTTTTGAATGTATACTACTCGCGTAAACTACGGACAGCTTTACTTGATTTAACTACGCAGTCGACCTGTTTTGACTTTGGACCTTCAAAACACCAGACCGCGAGCAAAACTCGAATACACATAACAAATTGTCCACCTGTGGACAGAAGTTCGCGAGCCAGACAGAATTACGACATTTCTACCACTTAACTTTTGTGTTAGTTTTCTGGGTGCTTTATTTTCAAAAGATAAAATAGTTGATCGACCATGACTTATTTTATTATAATTGATTTCAGCTTCTAAGAAAATAATTGATAATTATAACGTACCTAAAATGTAGTCTCTCCCATACCCTAAGTTGGGAACACGAGGTATTTTACATTAAAAATATTACTTTGCCTTAATATCTTTCTATATGTAGCAGAGCTTTGTATCTTGGGTTTACTAAAGTCATAGTTAAAGCCTACACAGTTTGCAACTCGCAAATCTAACGAGGCTTGAATATAAATTATCAATTTGCATACCGGGCATCGAACCTGCTATACATTCGTTTCGCAAGCTTTTACAACACAGTTGATTGAAGTCAAGATATGAGAGTGAAGTATATAATCTTAACAACACCGTCTTTTTTGTAGAGATAATATTGATTTTAAATTAGCCTATCTACTATTTAAAGCGATAACTTTTTAAGTGGAATTAGAGCAGCACGGAACGCTATGGAAGCCGCTTCAAGTGTAAAAAAATGTAATTTTAACTATTATTTTGCCAAAATCCCCGATACTATACGCTTCGCGTGGGTTTACCCGTAGGCGACAGTGATCTAAGCTATAAGAAATGCGGCGCCTGACGACAGAACTCGGCGCTTATCGAAAGCAAACCCTTATACGTATCGCTACAGGCGCTGTATATGGTTATATGGTCTTGTATGTATTATGTCATTTATTTTTATCGATTCTGTCGTAAAATTATTTATCTTTAGTGGTTATAAAAGTCGAAAACAAATATTAAGAATCGAAAACACTCAGCTAAATCGTGTAAATTTTCTTTAGGATTAGTTAATTTCAAAGTCTTGACG